AACCAAGCCTATGAAATGCTTCTTCCTTGTAAATATGAACTTGAAAGGTTGTGTTTTTGTGGTCTTTGTACAAAAAAAACTTGGGATTGAGCTATAGCTACGGGAAAACGGTTTTTGAAATGTTGGAAGAAGTTGAAGCTCTAAAATCTGATGGAGTTTTTGAAGTGCTGGCTGGGCCACCTACGATAGATGTGGTGGTGGAGAGCCTCAAGAACCGAAGATTTTTGGTCAAGAAGAAATGCTCAAAAGAGCATGGAAGCACCTCATAGATGATGGTACCGGGATTATGGGTCTCTACGGTATGGGTGGAGTAGGAATAACAACTCTTCTCGAACATATCAACAATAAGTTTCTTGAGGCAATTGACGGGTTTCAAATTGTTATTCGCGTTGAGACTACGGGTTGACAAGATTCAACATGAGATTGCTGAGAAACTAGGCTTTGGTGGAGAAATCTGGAAACAAAAAGAGAAAAGACAGAAGGCCACTGATGTACACACTCATATGAAGAATAAGAAATTTGTGTTGTTATTGGATGACATTTGGAGGGAAGTGGATTTAAAAGAAATAGGAGTCCCATTTCCGACAAGGGAAAACGGATTCACCACTCGTTCTAGGGAAGTATGCGGCCACATGGGGTTGATTACCCAATGGAAGTAAAATGTTTGGATTCAAACGAAGCTTGGGACTTGTTCCGTTCTAAAGTTGGGGAAATCACATTAGAAAGCCATCCAGATATTCTTGAGCTCGCGTGTGAAGTTGCTAGAAAATGTCGTGGTTTACCATTGGCGCTGAATATAATCGGCAAGAAAATGGCGTGCAAGAGGACAGTAGGGGATTGGGATCAAGCAATTGACACTCTTGCTTCTTCTGCTGCAGATTTTCCTGGTATGGAAAACGATATTTTCCTAGTTTTGATGTATAGCTACGATAGCCTCAGAGAAGACCAAGTCAAGTCATGTTTTCAATATTGCGCTCAATTTCCAGAAGACTTTTTGATAGAAAAGGAGAAGTTGGTTGATTACTGGATATGCCAAGGATNCATAGACGAAAATCAAGGTAAAAAGAAGGCTAAAAACCAAGCTTATGGGATAATTGGTACCCTTGAACAGGCTTGTTTGTTGATTGAAGAAGGAAAAGACAAATCACGTGTGAAAATGCATGATGTGGTTCGTGAGATGGCATTGTGGATAGCATCTGATTATGGGAAACAGAAAGAGAGATGTATTGTACAAGCTGGTGTTGGGTTACGTGAAGTACCGAAAGTCAAGAACTGGAATAACGTGAGAAGAATGTCATTGATGGAAAATGACATTAAAATGATATCTNATAGTTTTGAGTGTCCTCAACTTACAACTCTCCTCCTTACGGAAAACAAATACTTACAAATCTTAGATGAATTCTTTCGGTCTATGCCTAGGCTACTCGTTTTGGATCTGACACAGAATGAAAGTCTCCTTGGATTGCCAGAGCAAATAACAAGGTTGGTTCTCTGAGATATCTTAACTTGTCAAGGACAAAGATAGAGCGACTATTTGTTGGTTTACAAGAGTCGAAAATGCTAATACATCTAAATTTGGAAGGGACGAGCAAACTTGAGAGTTTAGATGGGATATCAAATTTGTCGAGTTTGAGGACATTAAGACTACGAGAGTCCAGAGTGTGGCTAGATATGAGCCTTATGAAGGAGTTGCAGCACTTAGAACATATAGAGTTCATAAGCATAAGTATCTCGTCAAGTTTGGTTGGGAAGCTATTGGTGCATGATCCAGAGTGGAGAAATGTATTCAACGCGTTTCTATTAAGGATCGTTGGGGAGAATCAGTAAAAGTATTAGTTCTGCCAGCTATGGATAATCTCTGTGACATGTTCATATCAGATTGTGGAATGAGCGAGATAAAGATAGAGAAGACACCATGGACCAAAAATCTAACAAGTCCATGCTTCTCAGACCTCTTTCTTGCAAATAGAAGGGTGTCATGGTTTTAAAGGATCTGACGTGGCTATTGTTCGCTCCAAACCTTTTTCATCTTATACTTACCCACGTAAAGCAAGTAGAGGAGATAATAAGCAAACAGAAAGCTGCGAGTGTTTTAGACAAGGAGACATGTAATATTCTTCCTTTCCCGAAACTAAACCTAGCAATGCTAGGAATAAAACCTACCAATGCTAACAATCTACTCATGATTCAATCATAGCAAGTGTAGGGTTTGAACACAAGGAAGACAAGAACTTAGAGTAGTAGACCATGGAGGATTTTAATTAAACTAAAGCATCAATAAGAGTTTGGTTTGATTNTTCTAAACTAAGTGAAATGTGACAATACAGAAATGATCGAAACAGAAACTAAATGGCAAATGCAATAATAATGGAAAGTATCAAGTATCGGGTTAGCAACTGATGCAAAGCAATAGATTGCGGCTAATATTGCTAGGGTCTTTTACTCTGAGGCTCAACTCTTAAGCATGGAACACAAATATAGACCATCCCACTTTCATGAAGCTACTAATCACTTTGTTGAGTACAAACATCTAACGAATTTTGGCTGCTAGATATAAGGACTCTCCAAGCATTAAGATCAAGTTCCAATAAATTCACTTAGCTCCTTAACACACTTTCGTGGCCAAGGATCACTAAGCCGAACAAAAGGTTGGTCCGACATTCCGACAAACACCTTTCGGGCAGCAGAACGCCTCAAGACGAGATCCAAGGCCGGAGCCAAGAACCAAGCTTTAACCTCAACCTAATCTCGAGAAACATAATATTTAAGCCGAAGCTAGATTAGCCGTTCTCTAAATCTCTTACATCTACTAAACCGACACTCGACAAGCGGACTACTCACTCATGGCTATGGAAAAAGCCATGATTGAGCTCAAGCGAGATGCGAATGGTGAAATGCAAAGATAAGTGCGAGTGACGAGTAAATATTGAAACTTTAAATTAAAGATAGAAACTTTATAAAGAAATGAACTTAGAACACCAAAGTATTAATGCTCTAAGGATCTAATATAACC